TTACTTACATCTTTTTTTCTTATGTCTTTCCTTTTTTTTCTTTTACTTTTCTTTTCTCTTAATTTCTTTTTTGTTTCTTATTCCCTTTACTTTTCTTATTTCCGCCTCTCGTGATCCCAGGACTAAGTCTCAGTCGAATCCGTGTGTCTGTCCCAAAACATCAGCCCCAACTCTGCTCAAAGATCAGAGGTTACTGGTCAGTGGTCTCCAGGTGTGGGCTACAGATTGGTCCCAAGTGTGTGTTATACAAATTGTGTGTGTGTGTGTGTGTGTGTGTGTGTGTGTGTGTGCGTGTTCACAGTGCGTAGAGACCCGTTACAGCCCCGTGACTTTGCTGCACGGTTCAACAGCTGCAGATGGTTATCACCCTTTAAAAAAGCCCTAAGAATTGCTTTAAGTTGGATTCGGAGACACGGTCTAAGTTTTGACGGGAGGATGGCCCGCGCGGGGGTGGATGGCGCATCCCAAGGAACCCGTTCTCCTCCCGAGGGGTCTGGGGGGTTGGAACTTTTGCAAAACCGACTGGTTTTGTTCTTGTGATATTTTCTTGTTTTCTGTGGACTTTTTGCTCCCTTAAAAGTAGCCACACTTTATATAGTGTTTCATAACATTAAAAGAGTAAACGTAGTATCTTTTCGCCTTTTTATTTTGGGCAGTTGCTTTTTTTTTTTTTCTTTCCCTTGGTAGGGATACATTCTTTCACGTCTGAAACGAATGCCGATTTAAAATTTCTCACCAGTGTTAACAGTCTTCTGCCAGCAGGACAAATGACATTTGTGATCAACATTTTCACAGACCTTTCTGAACACTCATGTCTTTGGATATTTCTCTCTTTCTCTCTCTCTCTCTCTCTCTCTCTCTCTCTTTTTAAAAATCTTACACCTGTGGCCTGTTTATGCAGATGTCGTGCAGTGGTCGGGGGAGAGCAGTTTTCGATCACGGAATCTGTTTAATGCACATTTTGTCACTGAAGGTCGTGCTGCTATACCACGCACACGCAGGCGTTTCTCGAACCACAGGGGGCGTGGTTTTACCAATATGAAAGTCTCGTGAGCGGGCAAAGCACGGCCACCGATTCCATGAGCGTGCGCTGGTTCCTTTCTTGTCGCAATCCTGCAGCTCAAGGGCTCCTTCCCAACCACGCCGGAAAGAAATAAATGTATTTTATCTGTGCACCTCTTATGCGTTTTGAATTCTGTTGGCTCAGGCCGTGTGTCGGAAGACAAGCTACTCTGACCGCATTTGGGGAGATCACTGGGTTTGCGTCGGGGCGTGTTTGAAAAATTGTAAAATAGAAGTGTGGAAATAAAAACAAGATATGATGTGGGATGGGAGGGGGACGGGGGGATGAACAAGCCCACCAGGCTACACGACGCCCCCTTGGTCCCCCTGTCCCCCAATGACGACCAGGGCAGCCCTCACTGGTCTGAAACTCCATCCCCCTCCTCCAGCCCCACTTTCTGGGCAAGGTGTGGGATTCAGGGCAGAAGAGGAAAAAAATATCCCTTTTCAGTTCTAGGTGCTGAAAAGATGCTAATCTGCGGAGATTCCCTTCATTTATTGTTATTATTTATTTTCTGATGAGTTTGGGGGGCAGACAGGAGTCAGGATCTCGTGTTCCCGCATACAGCGTGTCTATGAACGGGGGGGTCTCCACGTGCACGCACGTCTGTGTTTAAGGAGAAGAAAGCAACCGTTAAAATCGAGAGAAAGGAAATTGGATTCCCCTAATACCTGGGCCACGTGTGGAAAAACCCCAGCCAGGTCCTCACCTGTGAGCGTTGGGACAGCGTTAGTCAGACCCTGTGTGCTCGGAGGGTCTTGGGTTTCAGGATTGAGACCTCTGATCCCACAGCTAGGAGCGTCAATCTTAGGAACCCCCGAATGCCTTCTTTGTGCATTTCATGGAGGCCGATCTCTGCCGTACTCAGCCTCTCTGGGTCTTTTTTTCTCGTTCCCAGCGGAACAAGGCGAGGTCGACCTGCAGAACCATCGGAACACCAACGCAGAGCCGGCTGGTAAGGACGGGGCGGACGGGGGCCTGTTTCCATTCTGTTCCTTTCCCCATGTACCCTGCAGTAGGGTTAGGGTTAGTGTTAAGAGTTAAGGGTTAGGGTTAGGGTTAGGGTTAGGGTTAGGATGTCTTGCCCACACCCTCAAATGCAGTTTTCTGGCGTTAAATGTGTTCCTTTACGTCTCGTTGCTTTCGAGGGGTTCATTTGGGAGATGACGTATAAACTCCCCAGGGCTGCAGGCTTCAGAGAAGACCCAAATTTGCCTACGTCTCTCTTGAACACAATATTGATTAAAAACTGGGTTTTTTATTTGTTTTATTTATTTGCAAGGTGGAAACCTACTCGCTTCCCCAAGAGAGGCAACGTTTATTTAATAGGATGGCTGTTGCATTGAGATGGGTTTTTAATAAAATTTTCATAACTGTTTTGAATTCTAAAAAAAATAGAGACTTATATAGAAAGTTCGGGTGTATTTCAGTGGCTCTTTTCAAATCGGGGGAAGATATTTAAAATATTGTCTTCAATCTAGAAGAGAGATTTTTAAAATGTATATCACATGGCTTGGTAAAGATGTCTGGCTTCATGGCCAACACGTTGGTATCTGTCTAGGGGTGAGGTCCCGTCTCATCAGAGGTTTGGTCTTCCTGGCAGCAAATTCCGAGGGGAAATCTCTTTGCCCTTAATTCTCTTATCCAAATCCCGCCTTCTCCCTCCAAAATAGTTTAAGGACTGTCATGCAAAATAAAGTTCTAAAACTTAACGTGAACGAAGCAGAAAATCTCAGCCCCACTTTGCTATAAATTATTTTTAAAAATCACATTATTTCATTTAGAAAATTTATTCTAAAATTCAGTCAATCGTAGATATTTGTTTTAGTGTGTCTGAGAAGTCTTTAATAGAAAGAGCCTTCTTGTGTTGTCTTTCCCGATTTCCTGCCGTAACTAATTTTTTCTAGCTGTGTACGGGATCATTCAACGAAATTCACTGTGGTGTTGTTTTCAGATTTAGGGTTTTGCTTTTTTGGCGGTGAGTTTTGAGCTCAGTTATCTTATACAGAAACAGAGCATGCCCACTCCTGAAACTTTTAGGAAGTGTGTCCGTGTGCCTGTTTGGGGAACCCGAAATGACTTTTGTTTCTCTCCGCTGTTTACAGTTCAACGTACTCTTTTAGAGAAATAGAAGATAGTCCGCGAAAGCAGCCCGGCCGAGCGCAACGGGATCCTAACACCTGCCCGAGGCTCCTCCCAGAAAAAACACCTGCCCGCGGGCAAGAGACAGCGAGGGCTTTTGTAGATTCTCCGTGTTAATCTTGAGATGCGCTTTGCCTGTTGCCTCTGGGCAGACGACGTTTACTAACGATGAGTTTGACATCCAAGGGGGCACTTGTACTGCATTCTCCACGGCCCCTGGGGGGTTCCCGTGTGATGTGAAAACCTGACCGTGACCGAGTCCCCGTAATTCAGGTATCATCCCCACCACCGAGGTACCCCGACCCCGAACTCTGGGCCGTTCACCTTGACGTGTACACGTCTGAAACTTCCATGACAGCATTGACCTTTTTTTTTATATTAGATACGAGGTAAGGCTTACATCGCTTTTCCTTAAGATTGCTTTCATTTGTGAGGACATTTTTTTTCACATCAGGCTAATAAAAAGAAATTTAGAAACCACATACTTTTTTACGTAAATGCTTTGCCCCGGCATGGATTTTAAAGAAGGCTGCAGAGGTTGGTGGGAAGGGCTCTAAGTTCCCTTTCCTGGGGCTCGAAGATAAATTATCAACCTAAGTGCTAGTTCTTTAGTTCTGAGATTTTTGTTTTGGGCCCTTGTTATTACATCTGTCCTGCCACATGGGGACAAATACTCCTCTACATCCAGATACTCTGTTCTATCCAGATACTCCTCTCCATCCAGCTACTCTCCTCCATGCAGATACTCCCCATATCCAGCTACTCTCCTCCATGCAGATACTCCCCATATCCAGCTACTCTCCTCCATGCAGATACTCCCCATATCCAGATACTCCTCTCCATCCAGATACTCCCCATATCCAGATACTCTCCTCCATCCAGATCTCCTCCATGCAGATACTCCCCATATCCAGCTACTCTCCTCCATGCAGATACTCCCCATATCCAGATACGCTCCTCCATCCAGATCTTCTCCATGCAGATACTCCCCATATCCAGATACTCTCCTCCATGCAGATACTCCCCATATCCAGCTACTCTCCTCCATCCAGATACTCCCCATATCCAGCTACTCTCCTCCATGCAGATACTCCCCACCATATCCAGCTACTCTCCTCCATGCAGATACTCCCCATATCCAGCTACTCTCCTCCATGCAGATACTCCCCATATCCAGATACTCCTCCCCATCATCCAGATACTCCTCTCCATCCAGATACTCGCCATATCCAGATACTCCTCTCCATCCAGCTACTCTCCTCCATGCAGATACTCCCCATATCCAGCTACTCTCCTCCATCCAGATACTGTCCTCCATGCAGATACTCCCCATATCCAGCTACTCTCCTCCATCCAGATACTGTCCTCCATGCAGATACTCCCCATATCCAGCTACTCTCCTCCATCCAGATACTCCCCATATCCAAATACTCCCCGTATCCAGACATTCCTTTGAATCCAGGTTCTCCCTGCATCCAGATACTCCCCAGCACCCAGATTCTCCCCTATGTTCTCCTGGGTTTCATATGGGTTGAACGCCACAAATTTGTTAGCTGTTCGTACAGCCTTTTACACAGGCTGAACCATTTTGACGTGAGAGCTGGGTTTCACACGGGGGTAAAACTGCTTTGTGGCCGAGGATGTCCTTGTACACTTTCTGACAGTGTGGAGTTGACTGAAAGACTATTCTGTCCCCCTGCCATCCATTGTGACGTTTCCCCATTTAGGGCAACGCATGCCTACCTTGCTGGGCTTCCCCCGACGCGTGTCTTTCTGTACAAGCTTGGAGAGGGCTCCCATTGCATTTTGGGCTAATCTTGTAAAGTATAAAAGCCCTGATATTCCAAACGAGATTGATGTCATTCTTTAACTCACCTCCACTGAAAAATGAAGACGTCTTCAGTACGTCTCCCGCGGCACAGGCAGGCTCTGAAAATCGTAAGGCTCTTAAAATCGTTATCCGGAGAAAAGCAGTTTCACGGGGATGCTTCATCTCCTCCCTGGTGATGGCGTTAAGAGCTGCCGCCCATTGTGGAAATGGAGTTTCATGTGAATGTCTCCCCGTGCAAAGGTAGGGTGTCACCATACCTCGGCACGAATGGCCCCACTTGGGGAAAGAGGTGGGCCGGAGGTGTCGGTCATGCCTTCCGAGTCTTCCCTGCTTCTAAGCTCAGAAACTGTGCCAGCAATTTCAGGGATGGGCACCTGACCAGTCCCCAAGACATTGAGGATACAACACCTTCCCATGCCCCTGGCATCTCCAGATATCGATGGGCACGGTCATCTGGCTCTTTTTGGCATTGGAGCTATTCCTTCTGGCTTTGACGCCGCTAAAAAGTTTGAGTTTGTGAAAGTGGGTGAAAAAAATGATGGGAACCCTTGGCATTTATTTGTCTTATCCGTGCATTGCTTATTCATTCAACAAATGCCTGTTGGATGCCACAGGGGCCCCTCGCACAGTGAGAAACGAATGCCTCCTTACACAGTTAGAGAACGGGGTTCCTGTCCTCCCAAAGTCATCACTGAGGATTGTCTTTGAGGTCCGATTCTGCATACCAATTTGCTTTATATTAACAAAAAGATACATAAAATCTGTGTTTTTTTTTTTATCATTCTGTGAATAACATCGACATTTTTGTAAGTGTTGTGATTATACTATCCACGAAATGGCTCATTCCACAAAAAGCAGAATAGTAAAAACATGGTTTTCTTTTTAAAAATATGTCGAATTATGGCTCACTGACAAATAAATCTATCCTCTTAAAAAATATGTCAACAGGCTTATTTTTTAGGAGGGGTGGATGTCTATCTTTGTTGGTCATTTTTTTTTTTTTTTTTTGTCTCAGGAACTTTATTTTGGCCATTCCATGATAGCATTAGAAGGCTCAGATACGTCAGTGTGCAGGTCATTTTAATGCCACACAGACATAAAAATAAATAGGTGACTTTATCAAAAGTGGATCTTAAGAAAAATCGAGTTTAAATGATGTCGCTTGTTGGATCATTAGTTATTGCGGCAAAAATGACTCCTCGTTTCCTCTTTGGGAACTTTTGTATAAAGAATACAGTCCAGTGGTTGTGGGAATGAAGGTATAAAGAAATTTATTTAAGAGCTAACAGGAGACAGAGCAAAATACTCCATACGGTTTCCAAATACTAATGTTACATAGTTTTCCCTAAGGCAATTGTGAGTATCAGAGCCCATCTGTAACTTCTTAAAGAAAAAGTCGGCCTCCTATAGGGTTTTCTGTGAATTATTCCACAAATATGCACTGAGCTCCCACCTGGGGCCCCGTCGGGGAGCAGAAACACTTCTCTGGAAACTTATCCATATCGTTCCTTCAGGTGTTTAAATGCCATTGTGTAGATTTCAGCAAAGGACTTGCTTCTAATTCTTCAACATCCTCCGAGACTACAAAGAACCTTCTTGTCCGTCTTAGGTCGTGTAGTCATTATTTTACTTTACGTACTATTTTCATTTTGTCAAATAATTTTTTAAAAAAATGATTAGCTTCGTCATTTCCCAACTGTTAAGTCTTGAGTTTCTTCCGTCTGTTTTCTTGGAATTAATAATTTGCCACCTGCCGTCCCCACGGACGTGACTTCTTGAGTTGAATGTTTATTCCGTTTGTTTTCATTCTTTCGTGAAGTTCACATATCCTAAAATTAACCGTTTTTAAAGTGAACAACTCAGGGGGCGTTTAGTACATCGACAACGTTGTGCAACCACCTCCTCCGTCTGGTGGCGAGACAGTTTCGTCCCCACCAAAAGGAGACCCCGCTAAGCTGCCATCACAAAGTACCGCAAACTCAGGGGCTTAAACCAGCGGTCCCCAACCTTTTTGGCACCAGGGACCGTTTTCATGGAAGACAATTTTTCCACAGACTAAAAAGGGTTGGGGATGGTTTTGGGATGATTCAAGCGCATTCCATTTATTGTGCATTTTATTTCTATTATTATTACATTGTAACATACAGGGAAACAATTATACAATTGTTGCAATTGTAGGTTGGGGACCTCTGGCTTAAACAAGAGAAATTCATTCTCCTACGGTTCTGGAGGCTAGAAGTCTGAGATCAAGGTGTCGGCAGAGCCCACCTCATGCCAGCATGACCTCATTTTTAACTAACGTCACCTACAATGACCCCAGTTCCAAATAAGGTTACATTCCAAGGAGTGGGGGGTTAGAGCCGCAACATATGAATTCGAGGGGCATAAGTTAACCCATAGCAACCTTTCCCACCTCCTGTATCCCCTAACAACCACTGGTCTGCTTTCTGTCCCTGCGAATTTGCCTGTTGGCGGCATTTTATATAAATGGCATCCTACTCTGTGCGGTCTTTTGTGTCTGGCTTTTCTCACCGAGCATGATGTTCTCGAGGTTCATCCGTGTTGTAGCAGGCGTCAGAGTGTCCTTGCTTTTCCTGGTCAGGGAATTTCAAAGGAAGCAACTTTCTAAGCACATCACCTGCTGCCCTGGGCCGTCCCGGTGACATGTTAGGATTGCACGTGCTGCTTGTCTTAGCAGCATCTCTCCCCCCATAAACATGCACACACAAGCACACACATGCACACCTGTGTGCGCCTGAACTTAACCCATTTACAGAACAGCTTTGTAAAGACGCTACGCAGAAAACGAATCCAAACACCAGACAGACGACATAAATACGTGCAGCATTTTCAGGCGCCAAGACACATATAAAGAAAAGTTCAAGGTGTGTTTCTCCTTTGGGGTCAGCTTCTCCGGGGGTTTAGAAAACTGCGTTCATAAGCAGGACTGTTTTCCCTGTTCCTCCTGCATTTTTTCCACTTCTCAGAGGAGTTTAAAGCTTTTTGCACGTTTTTTATTCTCCCCGACTGCTTTGGGATAGGTGGCTTGGAAGGGTTCGTCCACAAGTAGGTGTGGATGAATTAGACCAAGTCAGAGCTCTGTAGTGGAAAAGAAGATAATAACTGCTGTGGATGCAGGATTGATCCCTGGGCTCAGCTCTGAGGCCCAGTCTCCATGGCGATTTCAACCAGAAGATGTCAATTTTGGTAGTTACGTAAAATGCGTCGGACTTAAATAATACATGTGCTTTCTCTTTGTGGAATCTATTTTTGTCTTTTATTTATTTTTTTTGTAGAAAGGAGTCAAAATAAAACAGAGGGAAAAATGCTCCAGAGTCAAACTTAGAAGCCACAATGCGCACCACCCAAAAGATGGACATATTTGAAACTCGGACTTGGGGGTGGGGCAAGGGCAACATATGTAACCTAAACATCTGTACCCCCATAATATGCTGAAATAAAAAAAAAAACTTAGGAGCCACATATAGTTCATCTCCAACCCTATTCTACTCAAGAAGTGTACAATTTCATCCCAATGCAAATCATCTTTGGAGGAGAAAAAATGTAACCGACTTGGAAAAAATATCTGTGTGTAATTCAGTACAATGGCACTGATGAATAAGATATATCATTTATATCCTGGCAATACTGACAGTCGGTGATAGTTGTTGCTTTGAAGACTGGGTGGGTCTTACTTCTGTGCTAGAAGAAAAACGCTTTTGGGTCCCCAAAGATGTCCACGTCCTAATCCCATGTGGTAGACAGAATAACGTCCCTAGAAATGCCCACATCCTAATCCCTGGAGCCTGTGAATATGTGACGTTTCATGGCAAAAGAGACTTTGTAAATTTAATTGAGTTGAAGATCTTGAGATATTAAAAGGATGCTGGATTATCAGGGAAGCAGTAGAGTCATGGTGGGGACAAGGCCAGGTGATGACAGAAACAGAGAAACAGAGTCGGCTCTCTCATTTGGGAGTGACCAGGGCAGCCAGTCCCACCCCAGACTCCTGCATTTCCAAGCAAGCCCTCTTTTTCTTCCCGATTGTCAGAGGAGCCCTGGTCGTAAGACCCCAGAAGTCTGGCTTCCCTCTTGTGGCCCCCCTGGGAGAAGGAACAGACATAATATAACTTCCAATAGTTTCTCTCCCTCTGTTACACGCTTTGCGTAGCTCATTCTGCTGCACAACAAAAACGGGACACAGACGGGCTGCGTTTTCATTAAAAATTCCTAATTTTTGGAGCCTAATTTGGCTTTG